TCATGGGTACACCAGTCTTTGGCTGAAAACTCTAAGGTGCCCTTAGGAGGGGGTGGGGTAGGCTGAGTCTATGTCCTGTGAAACCCTGGTAGCCGCACCCACACCTCACAGCTGAACTATTTAAACAGTCCAACTTCATTGCTTCATGACTAATCTCTGAAGAGACACCAGGCAGACAAAACTCCAGGTGCACCTGTCTACACTGAAAACCCTGGAACCTCCTGGGTTGGGGATGGACTGAGAATTATCCCAGTTCTGCAGATCCTGGAGCTTCTGGAGCATGCAGACATTTATGCAGCTGTCTGACACCTCCTAATTCCATCATCCTGACAGCCCAGGAGGAGCACAGTAAATTAGACAGGAAAGTAACACAGAAGCCCATTAAGCTCAACCAACAAAAACAGTAACGCAGAAGTCTGAGGTAGCAGCACACATCTCACTAAACCCTCAGACAATGACTTTAGTTACCCCATTGTGAGATATAGCAATCTTCACACATTTTCCTTTACTGAACTTTTTTTTCCCAGTAATTCTATTTGCTCTTTTGTTGTAGTAAGCAATAAAGGTAAAAAAAGGCCCTCCCATTGATCATCGATTTGCTCGAGCGGGCCCAGTAACGTCTCCATTGGGGACTTTGTTGTTACTGTGTTTGGCATATCGAATACATCACGGGGAGCTTGCCAGGCTCTGCCGTGCGGGCGAGATACTCTCGGTAGCTTGCCGGGCTCTCCGAGAGGGGCAGAGGAATCGAACTCGGCTTGGCCATGTTGGCCGCTTGTAAGGCAAACGCCTTACCGCTGTGCTATATAAAATAAATTATTTTGTGCCTGCCAAGGAGGTATGATTGGTGTGTGTGTGTGTGTGTGTGTGTGTGTGTGTGTGTGTGTAGGAGGTGGCTGGGAAACTACGTACAAGGGTGGAGGGTTTGTCACACTGGTGCCAGGGCTGGTGTTGGAAAATTGAATGCCAAAAACAACTGTACTATGGACAACTTTGTAAACCATGGTGTTAGATAAAGTTAAAAAAATATAAAAGAATCGTGGTGGGAACCAAGGAGATAATGGTGACTGATTCAATAAATATGACAGTCAACCTTTTGTTAGCCGCTGTCGAGGCTAGCTTGCTACCTGAATAAGCTACTATGTCAATCTTTGCAGTAGACTGTTAGACAGAGTCAAACATGCCAATGCAGTTGACTTTATTTTGGCAACCCACCACAAAATATATTTGAAAAATGTTGTTCAATTAATTCAGTACACAAATGGTGTCTTTCTTTGGCTATTTCCAATTTTTTTCTTAAAAGTTCATATGAAAGTACCTCTACCATCACAGCAAATTGGTAAAAGAGTACCCATAATGTAACCTATGCCCACACCCATAACATAAACATAATTCTGAGAAAAATTTTAATCTATGTGGAAATTGGTATAACTCCACAGATTGGAGATCCTGTCTCTTAGGCACGTGAGAAACTGCTCCACAGTAACAAAGCCTGTAAGGGGGGCAGGGCAGATAAAGAACAGATCCAAGGCAATCATTCTTTTTTTAACTTTTTAATTGAATCACTGTGAGTTATAAATTTTAGAAAAGATTCCCATTTATTCAAAGTTTGGGGATAGCTTGAGGAGTATAGGTTATAAGTTTTTAAAGATTTTATAGAACTTACCAGTGAGCCCATGTGAATGAGTACATTTGATGTTGGGAAGATTTTTAATTACTGTTTCAATTTTCTTGCTTGTAATTGGTCTGTTAAAATTTTCTAATTCCTCCTCATTCAGTTTTGGAAGGTATTGTGCTTATAAGGGCTGGAGCGATAGCACAGCAGGTAGGTCATTTGCCTTGCACGCAGCCTACCTGGCCTACCCAGATTCGATTCCTCTGCCCCTCTCAGAGAGCCCGACAAGCTACCGAGAGTATTTTGCCCTCACGGCAAAGCCTGGCAAGCTACCCGTGACGTATTCGATATGCCAGTAACAAGTGTCACAATGGAAACATTACTGGGCCCGCTAGAGCAAATCAATGAACACAGGGAGGACAGTGACAGTGACACTGTGAGATAGACCATTAGAAAGCTGCTCATGATTGGATTTCAGTCCTACAGTATTTCACCACCCATCCCTCCACCAGTGTCCATTTCCCAGCAACAGTGTCCCCAGGTTCCCTCTCATCACCCCCACTCCCCACCCCCTGCTTGCCTCTTTGCAGACGCTTTCTCTCTCTCTCTCTCTCTCTCTCTCTCTCTCTCTCTATCCTTTTGGACACTGTGGTTTACAATAACCAGAAAATCATTCTTTAAAAAGAATCACACGAAGTAATTTTGTGATATGCCTATCAAGAGGGCAGGCTGGGGGATGGGAGGAAACCAGGGCACAATGGTGGGTTTGGTGTTGTGACACTGCATGCCCAAAACAACTCTATTATGAACAACTTTATAAATCAATGTGTCTTCATAAAAAAAATTAAGCCCCCCCCCCCACACACACACAAGCAGAATACTACTAGGCTTGAACCTGTGCACCTGAGCACTGTCAGGCAGGCCTGGTGGCTCCATTACAGCCTAATCCAACCAGCACTATATGTGGCAGAGAACCCAGCTGCCAATTTGGTCGATTATTGCCAGGAGTGCTCCCCCTGCCTCCCCTTCTGGAACCCCTAACACTGCTCCAGTCCCCCAAATTAAAAAAAAAAAGCCAGGATACAATAATGTATAGGACATAAGTCTTCAAAGGAAAAAGAGGGTGAAGAGGGATGAGGGTAATGGGACAAAGACCCATCAGCATAGGACAGAGTCATCCCAAAAGGCCTCCCTCGAAGAAAGAGCCCCCAGGCCCACCAAAGACAGGAAGGAGAACTGGACAGGAGTGAAGAGAAAGAAGGAAGAAGAGCCACTAGTGACATCAAATCCTGGCCCTGCGAGCTCTCAAGCACCCACGAGGGCTTCTCTTCCAGCACACAAGGGGGCAGGTGGGAGTGAGAGTCCTAAGAATGTTCTAGAAGGGATAGGCACACATGAGCTGCAGACTCAGCACCTAATGCCTTTTTTAAATAAAGTTTTCTGATTTCTAAAGCAAGGGAAATTTATTAATTTTTTGCTTTTAGGGTCACATCCAGCGATGCTCAGGAATTACTCCTGACGGTGCTCGGGGAAACCATATAGGATGCAGGGATTGAACTCAGGTCGGCCATTTGAAAGGTAAACACCCTACCTGCTGTACTATTGCTCTGGCCCAGCACCTATTGTCTTGGTGAGGAGGAAATCAAGGTGCAGGTGAATGGAGGGTCCCACACACTAGGGAAGTGAGACCATCTCCCAGTCTGGGCCTGGGCTGTGGTCTGAAGCCAGGTTCTCTTTTACTCTCTGCTTCTCTGCTCCTCCATACCTCCCCTGCATTCCAGACTAAGTTTAGAGTGGACATTTGGACCTGAAATCTCCCCTCCTGTCCAGCCTGACTGCTCCTTCACACTAGGCCCCATGAGGCTGGCTCAGCCCAGTGACCTGAGGGGACCGCAGCTGCTCCCCAGGGAGGGGAAACAGGCTGATTCAGGGAGGATGAGGGGAGTTGCCTGGTGGGACTCCCTCCTTCTGGGCCTTCTGGGTCCAAACAAACAGGGGCCTGTTGCCTAGGAAATATTTCCTTCTACGGGCACGGCGCACGCTTTCATTCCAGCTGACACCAGTCTCTGGGAACGCTGACCTGGCCCGGCCTGAGGGCCGGATTTAGTTTCAGGGAGGAAAGCGCGCTTGGCCCTCTGTGGAGCCTGACCAGTGCTGACACCGTGGCAGAGCAGGGTGTGGGGAAGCTGGACGTTGGCCCAGGAGCTTCCCACACCTCCTCCCCGAATCACCAACGAACACACTTCAATCACCGAAGACACCAGTCGTCAATCACCAAGGGGGTTGACAGAGAACTGACCCACCTGAACTTCTCCACTAACCTTGGGGGTTCCTGGGTGAGGCTGGCTGGGGGACTCATCATATGGGGATAACACAGTCTGGCTGACACTCATGGAGGTGGGTGCTACCTTTAAGAGTGGGGGTGTACCGGGAATGGGAGGAACTCTGGGAGGTGTAGAGGAGGAGGGTTGGTCAGAGGGGTGGGGGTGGGGGACTGAGAGAAGGGGGATAGAAGAGAGAGAAAGAGAATGGGAGAAAGAGAGAGGAGAGAGCGGGAGAAAGAGAGAGTGAGCAAGAAAAAGGGAGGAAAAGAGAAAAAGAGAGAGGAAGAAAGAGAGAAAGAGTAGAGAAAGAGAAAGAGAGAGTAGAGAAAGAAAGAGAGAAAGAGGAAAAAAGAGAAGGTAGAGAAAGAGAGAGAAAGAGTAAGAGAGTGTGTGTGAGTATGTCTCCATGAGTGTGTGTGTGTGTGAGAGAGAGAGAGAGAGAGAGAAAGAGAGAGAGAGAGACAGAGACAGAGAGAGAGAGAGAGGAGGTAGGTTCTGTGTCTGGCATGTGGGCATGTTTGGGGGCTCAGGCACCAGGCATGAACCAGGAGCGTTGCATTGTCTCCTGCTGCCCCCCTTCACACTGACCATCAGGTCCCCAGCATCTTCCTCCCACTTCCCACTGTCTCCCCATCTGATCATGCCCAAGGGACACAGGAAAATCCCCTCCTGGAGTCACTCCAGCCTTGGACAGTGACCAGCATGCGGCTGAGACCCCGTCAGTTAATTTCTGCCCCTTGCAACCCCTGAGCCCAGCACCTCGGGGGACTGGGTGCAGGGACACTCCCTCCCCTTGAAGAAGCCCCCCACGGCTCCTGATAATTCAACCAGCAGTCGTCACTGGACAGAGCGTCACTCTGGGGCAGACACCTCAGTGCCCTAAAAGCCTCCTGTTCCTGAGCAGGCGCAGTGCCCACTGGTGGGAGGGCAGAAGAAGATTCCTGCAGGAGCAGAGGAAACCACTCCCCCTGCTCTGCTTCTCGGACGGTCACACACTCAGCGTCCAAGTTCTTCGGAACAGCCAACAGTTCCAGCTGGAGCAACCGAGAAAGAAAGGAAGTGAAACTCTCAGCTCCACTATAACCACCAGTCCAGGGGCAGCGGACGCCACGCACCCGGGTATCAGCAGCAATGGCGCCGGTGAGTCCCGTGGAACTTTACTTCTGGACTTTGCAGTGGGAGGCGGGGTGGACCCTCCTGTCTCCTCAACTGGGTCCTGGTCAGGGGCACAGGGACCCAGAGTCTGGTTCCGGGGCTCCTTGGGAAACTATTTCTTGATGAAAGAAGGATGGTTTTTCTCTGTTCCCTCTTCAGCAACCTCTGCTTCTTCTTCCCTCTCGGCTGAAGGAAAACCTGCAGGTCCCAGGCTGGTCCTCTCTATGTCGGCTAGTGTTGGGGGTGGTGGTTCCAGGACCTTCCAGGGGCAAACAGGGGATGTTCTGAAAGATGCTCCTGCCCGAGTTGCTGTCTCAGCTTCCATAAGTTTGGTGGGAAAGAGGCTGAGTGCATGTGTACAGAGAGACCCTCAGAAGTGAGATACTTCCCCCACTCTCACCCTGCTCCCTGCAGGGATTCTAGAACTGTTGGCCAGAGCCTGGACATTCTCTGCTCTCCTTTCAGTACCTCCCACTCCCAGCACATGGCGCCTGCCTTAGAAGGAGCTCTGAGATGAAGTCATGAACTTTGCTTATAAATGGATAGACATGGAGAGCATCATGCTAAGTGAAATGAGCCAAAAAGAGAGGGACAGACATAGAAGGACTGCACTCATTTGTGGAGTATAAAACGACATAACATGAGGCTGACACCTAAGGATAGTAGATACACGGGACAGGAAGATTGCTCCATAGCTGGAAGCCTGCCTCATGAGCAAAGGGGAAAAGGCAGCTGGAATAGAGAAGGGATCACTAAAAAATAATGGCTTGAGTAACTGGTCTGTATGCGAGATGTGTGCTGAAAGTAGATAATGGACCAAAGATGATGACCTCTCAGTGTCTGTATTGCAAACCATAATGCCCAAAAGTTGAGAGAGAGCATGGGGAATATTGTCTACCATGGAGGCAGGAGGAGGGTGGGAAAGGGGGAGCATACCGGGGATATTGGTGGTGGGGAGTGTGCACTGGTGGAGGGATGGGTGTTTGATCATTGTGTGATTGTAACCCAAACATGCAAGCTTGGAACTATCTCATGGTGATTCACTGTATCACTGTCATCCTGTTGTTCATCGATTACCTTGAGCAGGCCCCAGTAATGTCTCCTTCATCCTAGCCCTGAGATTTTTAAAAAGTGCCACATTCGAGGCTCTTTCAGGGTCAGGAGAATGAGACTCATCATTGTTACAGGTTTTTGGCATATTGAATATGCCACGGGGAGTTTGCCAGACTCTGCCGTGTGGGCAGGATACTTTTGGTAGCCTGCCAGGTTCTCCAGAGTAAGAACTAGATAATAAGATGTCGCGAAGCCGCGAATGCCACCGTGCACTTCCGGGAGGAGGGTTTTATAGTCTCTGGGTCTTGGCCATAGATGGGATTACACGGCGCTGGGGGCATTTGGTGGGTGTAACGCCTACATACTGGAAGATAAGGGATCTGGGTTGAAGAGCCCAGTCCCAATCTGAGCAGTCTTGGAGATCTACGTCCTGGGTCCGGCACACCTGGTTTCCTCTGCCAGTTCCTTCATGAGTGAGGCTCGTCCAAACGTGTGGCGAGTGGTCTTAAGCATGGCTGTGGCTGGAACCGGAGGTCTTCAGCTCCTGAGGCTCTGCTTAGGATGGGGAGGGAAACTCAACCCACCCTCCTCCAAGGGGCCCCGGTGAGGACAGTCAGGCGCAGAAGCAGAAGACTCAATAAAATTAAAAAAAAAAAAAAAAAAGGAGCTCTGAATCTCCACTCCTGACTGGAAACCCCATTTCCTATCCTCCACTGAGACAGGAAGTGGGTGTTTCTGGAAGATGGTCTCATGTAGAGTGGAAGACAGCTAGGTGATCTCTGCTTCTGGGAACTGTTGCTTTGAAGGAAGACTCGACTCTGTGGCCTGGAGCCATTTCATCAGTCAGGCTCCATCATACAGAGCGGCCAGTGACCCCGTGTCCAGAAGCAGTCTGGCCTTAGGGACACACAAGCAATGGCCAGGACAGCTGTATGGTGAGGAGGGGGGTCATGCATCGAGCCTGGGCTAGAGCTTAGGCAGATGTTCCCGGACTCTCCTAAGGCCTGGGAGTTGCCCTGGGGTGAGCACTGTGTTCTGAGCCAGAGGGAGGGGAGGGCAGTTGTGCTGATAGCGGTGGGTTGCTAGATGGGTGGGAGCAGCAGGGACAGGAGGCAGGTGGGGGACTGTTGCAGAGTAAAGAGGTGACTCCTGGCAAGTCCAAGAGCTACAGCTAGACACCAAAATGAGCTCAGGAGAAATGAGCTCAGCATTGATGACCCCCACAGAAATCCGCTCCAGGGCTGGACCCAGGGGTGCTGACAGCCCTCCTGCCGGGGGGCAGCGTCTCCAAGGCCAGTGTCAGAGTCTAAGGAGAACCAGGGGCAGGAGCCGTGATGGGACCTGAGAGGCCTCTGGGGGAACAGGAGCCCAGGACCCCCTGCCCGATGTTGCTGGATATACCTGGGCACCTGCTCGGGTGGCGGGGCTCCACACACACCTGCTATGCCAACACTCGGGGCCCCGGGCCCCTCCCAGGCCTCACCAGTCGAGTCCCACAGTGAAGGCCCTACCAGAGCCAGGATCTGTTTGAGTCTGGACGTTGTCCTGAAGTATCACACTTTTCTGTTGCAGTTTCGTGACCCTGAGCCTGGAGACCTGATTGAAATTTTCCGCGTTGGCTATCAGCACTGGGCCATCTACGTGGGAGATGGCTACGTGGTCCATGTGGCCCCCATGCGTAAGGACTATTGACAGTTGTTCTCATGATATGAGGAAATGCACTAAGAACAGTTGAAAGAAAGGGGTGAGCTCCCTTCACAGTGTTTGAGCGGACCCCACAGCCCATCCCTGAGCCATCAAAGTGGATACAAAGGGCTGACCCTGGGGTCCCCACACAACTGGGCTCCATCCCCAGCAGATGACTCTAAGGTCTCCCACAGCTGGGCTCCGTCCCCACCAGCTGACCCCAGGGCCTCCCATAGCTGGGCTCCATCCCTACCACCTGACCCAAGGGCCCCCACAGCTGGGCTATGTCCCCCCCAGCTCTCTAGCTCTGGGCCACGCTCCTGGGAGCAGAGTCTGAAGCTACCAACAGCAGCCCGGGGCCTGTAGTCTCTGGGCTAGAGAAAGTTCCTCAGCAGGGACCGTGTGCTGGGGGGGGGGTCCTTTCCCCCTCAGAGGCTCCCCCAGAACCAGGGCTTGTGAAAGCATTGACTGCAACTCCTCCCAGAAGCAGCCTCCTGGAGCAGCATGAAAATACTCTGCCCAAGGCCCAGGGGTCCATGTGATCAGCGAGTCTGAGTGACCAGAGCAGCTGGTGACAAAGGCAGTTGACAACAAAACTAGGACAGTCATCTGTGCAGGAAACATACAAATGGCACAGGTGCCACCTTCCAGGGAGCAGGGGCCACAGAGCAATGGCCAGGGACTCCTACCCAGGCACCCACTGTCCCTGCACAGAATCAATGTCTGGCACCCAGTGGGGACCCAGCCCACCGTTCAGTGCCCATGAGAGGGCAGGAAGAGGAGGTGATAAGGACAGGAGCCCCTTCGGCTTCTCTTTTAGGTGCAGACGGTTGTACACGGCTCAGAGAACCTTAACTCTATATCCCTGTGAGCTGGTTCATCTTCCTTTCAATTATTTACTTGGTCCATTTACCGTTGCTTGGTGCACACATAGTGGGTACAGAAATGTCCTCGTGTACTTGCTTTTTCTCTGCATGGCTTATTTGGTTTCATGTAATTCCCAGAGTCTCCTACCCCGTTGTTGGGTGTGGCAAAGATTCATCCTTTCTAAACCAAAAGAGTTCTCTACGATATAAATGAACCACATATCCCTTACTTAATCATGTACAAATTGTTGGTTTCTGGTTTGAGCTACTGTATATAGTGCTGCATACACGTTGGAGTGGATATACACTTTTCTGTGAATAACTCCAATAGATGCAGTAGAGATTCCAGGTACAGAAAAACAGGCAACTCTGTGTTGGCCTATTTTTCCTCTTAGCAGGGATCCCAGAACTTAGGGCTGCCAGGTTCAACTCTACAACTGTCCAAATAGGGATTGTCTCACACCTGAGTCTAAAGGCCTCTCCTTTGTCTGTGCTTTCTTTCAGTTCTAAACTAAGTTCCAGGAACTTATATGAGTTTCTTTCTTTTCTTCATTAATGTTCAAGGCAGCATACCAGGGTATGCTGGCAAGTGCTCTCACTATGCCTCATTCTCAGCCCTTGTGTTTAGATTCTTAAGAAAGTTCACCAGGGCCAGAGAAATAGTTCAGTGGGTAGAGCATTTGCCTTGCACACCGCCGACCCAGGTTCAATCCCTGACATCCCATATGGTCCCCCAAGCACTGCCAGGAGTAATTCCTGAGTGCAGAGCCAGGAATAACTCTTGAGCATCGCCAGGTGTGACCAAAAAAAAAAAAAAAAAGAAGAATTTTCACCAGGCTTTTCAAAATGGTTGCTCCATAAATACATGGAGGATGTGGACAATTTATCGTAAAGGAGGTGGAAGGCAGTGCAAACTCCATTCTGAGACCACAAACATAAATCTGGACTTATTGATGTGCTTCCCCATTTATCTTCCTTTTTATGGAATTTAGACTCCTCAAAATCACTCTAAAATTGCATTGGGACTCCATCAGCTTCTCAGTTCATTCCGGTACCCAGAAGTAAGAGGTTAGAGGGGGCAGACAAGTGTGTGGGGGGTGGTGAGTTCTGCTCCTGCAGAGAAAGTTTCTGTCCTTCATACCTCAGAGAAGTCCCATGAGTCCTGGCTCTGGGATTGTCACAGCACAGAGAAGTCTCTGAGCATCTCTGCTTTCCATCATTGGATACAAAATGGAGAGGCCAATATTCACCTCTGAAGCTTAAAGGGAGATTTTCATGCATGAACATTGTAAATTTTCTTGCATAAACTAGTTTACCTTCATGTATGAACAGCAGGACTTTGCTGAAATGTCAGGATACTTGTCTTAAATATTATGGGGCGCATGATCTAAAGATAGTGTGTGATTGGTTTCAGAAATATGGGGCCAGAGTGATAGTACATCAGATAGGGCACTTGCCTTGCATACAGCTGAGTGTGGTTTGATCCCTGACATTCCATATGATCCCCCAGGGAACCATCAAGAGTGATCTGTGAATGCAGAGCCAGGAATAACCCCTGAGTGTTGCCAGGTGTGTCAAAAATAAAATAAAATAATGAATAAAATAAAACAAGGACCAAACGAAACCCCAAATACGTATTTTACATATTACTGGGGCTGGAGTGGTAGGCTGTTTGCCTTGCATGTGGCTGACCCAGGTTCAATCCCCAGCATGCCATATGGTCCCCTGAGCACTGCTGGAGGGAATTCCTGAGTGCATAGCCAGAAGTAACCTTTGAGCATTGTCAGGTGGACCCAAAAAGCAAAAAAACAAAACAAAACATATTACTACCACTATCTATGTTGGCTAAGTTGTACACAACCTAAGTTGTGCCCCAGGAAAGAAGAAATCAAGAACTCGTCAAGAAAACATCAAACCCTGAACCTCCCCATCACGTTTGTAAAAGACACACCCACTGAGCAACAGCGGCTCTTTTTTTTTTTTTTTTTTTTTTTTAAATAATTTATTTATTTATTGAATCACTGTGGGAAAAGTTACAGAGCTTTCGGGTTTAGGTCTCAGTCATGTAGATACCGAACACATTTCCCTTTACCAATACTCATTTTTAACCCCGAACCCCAATAGACCCCCACCTCCCACCCCTCCCAATTCTTATGAGGCAGATGAGTTCTAGTTAATACTCTATCTACTTTGACTAGATAGATTATTTCGATAGAAGATGCACAATTATTGTTTAGAGTTTACGACCCACCCCCCCCTCCCAATCAGACATGCTGAAACAGCGTTGTGAAATGATTTGCTTTCTAGAACTTGGTTTAAGAATAAAATGATGTCGCGCGGCCGCGATAGCGGCCGCGCGGTTTTGAATTTCTGCTATTTTACTTATTGACCCTGGAAGAATTTCTATTAAAAGTTAGCTAGTTAAGAGATTGATTTCTGTGCCCTGGAGTCGTGGCCGTGCCGGAGAGCCGCTCGTGGGGGGCAGCCGGCGACCTCGGTGGGGCGTGGGGGACGGCCCACAAAGCCCCCCTTCCCATGAGGTCCCAGCCGCTTCCCCGAGCCCGGCTCAAACCCGCTTTCCACAAGGCTCCCGTGCGGCCGCCATCTTTCTTTCCAGAGAGGAGCGGGCGGGCCGGTCAACGCCCTTCCCCCTCCGGGCAGGCTTGGTGGCGCGCATCAACACAAGTCCATTTGCTTTTCTGCTCCAAGCGGCTGGTTCTCTGTGCTAAGTCCTTGTGCCTCCGGGGCCGTGGCCGTGCCGGAGAGCCGCTCGTGGGGGGCAGCCGGCGACCTCGGTGGGGCGTGGGGGACGGCCCACAAAGCCCCCCTTCCCATGAGGTCCCAGCCGCTTCCCCGAGCCCGGCTCAAACCCGCTTTCCACAAGGCTCCCGTGCGGCCGCCATCTTTCTTTCCAGAGAGGAGCGGGCGGGCCGGTCAACGCCCTTCCCCCTCCGGGCAGGCTTGGTGGCGCGCATCAACACAAGTCCATTTGCTTTTCTGCTCCAAGCGGCTGGTTCTCTGTGCTAAGTCCTTGTGCCTCCGGGGCCGTGGCCGTGCCGGAGAGCCGCTCGTGGGGGGCAGCCGGCGACCTCGGTGGGGCGTGGGGGACGGCCCACAAAGCCCCCCTTCCCATGAGGTCCCCGCCGCTTCCCCGAGCCCGGCTCAAACCCGCTTTCCACAAGGCTCCCGTGCGGCCGCCATCTTTCTTTCCAGAGAGGAGCGGGCGGGCCGGTCAACGCCCTTCCCCCTCCGGGCAGGCTTGGTGGCGCGCATCAACACAAGTCCATTTGCTTTTCTGCTCCAAGCGGCTGGTTCTCTGTGCTAAGTCCTTGTGCCTCCGGGGCCGTGGCCGTGCCGGAGAGCCGCTCGTGGGGGGCAGCCGGCGACCTCGGTGGGGCGTGGGGGACGGCCCACAAAGCCCCCCTTCCCATGAGGTCCCCGCCGCTTCCCCGAGCCCGGCTCAAACCCGCTTTCCACAAGGCTCCCGTGCGGCCGCCATCTTTCTTTCCAGAGAGGAGCGGGCGGGCCGGTCAACGCCCTTCCCCCTCCGGGCAGGCTTGGTGGCGCGCATCAACACAAGTCCATTTGCTTTTCTGCTCCAAGCGGCTGGTTCTCTGTGCTAAGTCCTTGTGCCTCCGGGGCCGTGGCCGTGCCGGAGAGCCGCTCGTGGGGGGCAGCCGGCGACCTCGGTGGGGCGTGGGGGACGGCCCACAAAGCCCCCCTTCCCATGAGGTCCCCGCCGCTTCCCCGAGCCCGGCTCAAACCCGCTTTCCACAAGGCTCCCGTGCGGCCGCCATCTTTCTTTCCAGAGAGGAGCGGGCGGGCCGGTCAACGCCCTTCCCCCTCCGGGCAGGCTTGGTGGCGCGCATCAACACAAGTCCATTTGCTTTTCTGCTCCAAGCGGCTGGTTCTCTGTGCTAAGTCCTTGTGCCTCCGGGGCCGTGGCCGTGCCGGAGAGCCGCTCGTGGGGGGCAGCCGGCGACCTCGGTGGGGCGTGGGGGACGGCCCACAAAGCCCCCCTTCCCATGAGGTCCCCGCCGCTTCCCCGAGCCCGGCTCAAACCCGCTTTCCACAAGGCTCCCGTGCGGCCGCCATCTTTCTTTCCAGAGAGGAGCGGGCGGGCCGGTCAACGCCCTTCCCCCTCCGGGCAGGCTTGGTGGCGCGCATCAACACAAGTCCATTTGCTTTTCTGCTCCAAGCGGCTGGTTCTCTGTGCTAAGTCCTTGTGCCTCCGGGGCCGTGGCCGTGCCGGAGAGCCGCTCGTGGGGGGCAGCCGGCGACCTCGGTGGGGCGTGGGGGACGGCCCACAAAGCCCCCCTTCCCATGAGGTCCCCGCCGCTTCCCCGAGCCCGGCTCAAACCCGCTTTCCACAAGGCTCCCGTGCGGCCGCCATCTTTCTTTCCAGAGAGGAGCGGGCGGGCCGGTCAACGCCCTTCCCCCTCCGGGCAGGCTTGGTGGCGCGCATCAACACAAGTCCATTTGCTTTTCTGCTCCAAGCGGCTGGTTCTCTGTGCTAAGTCCTTGTGCCTCCGGGGCCGTGGCCGTGCCGGAGAGCCGCTCGTGGGGGGCAGCCGGCGACCTCGGTGGGGCGTGGGGGACGGCCCACAAAGCCCCCCTTCCCATGAGGTCCCCGCCGCTTCCCCGAGCCCGGCTCAAACCCGCTTTCCACAAGGCTCCCGTGCGGCCGCCATCTTTCTTTCCAGAGAGGAGCGGGCGGGCCGGTCAACGCCCTTCCCCCTCCGGGCAGGCTTGGTGGCGCGCATCAACACAAGTCCATTTGCTTTTCTGCTCCAAGCGGCTGGTTCTCTGTGCTAAGTCCTTGTGCCTCCGGGGCCGTGGCCGTGCCGGAGAGCCGCTCGTGGGGGGCAGCCGGCGACCTCGGTGGGGCGTGGGGGACGGCCCACAAAGCCCCCCTTCCCATGAGGTCCCCGCCGCTTCCCCGAGCCCGGCTCAAACCCGCTTTCCACAAGGCTCCCGTGCGGCCGCCATCTTTCTTTCCAGAGAGGAGCGGGCGGGCCGGTCAACGCCCTTCCCCCTCCGGGCAGGCTTGGTGGCGCGCATCAACACAAGTCCATTTGCTTTTCTGCTCCAAGCGGCTGGTTCTCTGTGCTAAGTCCTTGTGCCTCCGGGGCCGTGGCCGTGCCGGAGAGCCGCTCGTGGGGGGCAGCCGGCGACCTCGGTGGGGCGTGGGGGACGGCCCACAAAGCCCCCCTTCCCATGAGGTCCCCGCCGCTTCCCCGAGCCCGGCTCAAACCCGCTTTCCACAAGGCTCCCGTGCGGCCGCCATCTTTCTTTCCAGAGAGGAGCGGGCGGGCCGGTCAACGCCCTTCCCCCTCCGGGCAGGCTTGGTGGCGCGCATCAACACAAGTCCATTTGCTTTTCTGCTCCAAGCGGCTGGTTCTCTGTGCTAAGTCCTTGTGCCTCCGGGGCCGTGGCCGTGCCGGAGAGCCGCTCGTGGGGGGCAGCCGGCGACCAAGGTGGGGCGTGGGGGACGGCCCACAAAGCCCCCCTTCCCATGAGGTCCCCGCCGCTTCCCCGAGCCCGGCTCAAACCCGCTTTCCACAAGGCTCCCGTGCGGCCGCCATCTTTCTTTCCAGAGAGGAGCGGGCGGGCCGGTCAACGCCCTTCCCCCTCCGGGCAGGCTTGGTGGCGCGCATCAACACAAGTCCATTTGCTTTTCTGCTCCAAGCGGCTGGTTCTCTGTGCTAAGTCCTTGTGCCTCCGGGGCCGTGGCCGTGCCGGAGAGCCGCTCGTGGGGGGCAGCCGGCGACCTCGGTGGGGCGTGGGGGACGGCCCACAAAGCCCCCCTTCCCATGAGGTCCCCGCCGCTTCCCCGAGCCCGGCTCAAACCCGCTTTCCACAAGGCTCCCGTGCGGCCGCCATCTTTCTTTCCAGAGAGGAGCGGGCGGGCCGGTCAACGCCCTTCCCCCTCCGGGCAGGCTTGGTGGCGCGCATCAACACAAGTCCATTTGCTTTTCTGCTCCAAGCGGCTGGTTCTCTGTGCTAAGTCCTTGTGCCTCCGGGGCCGTGGCCGTGCCGGAGAGCCGCTCGTGGGGGGCAGCCGGCGACCTCGGTGGGGCGTGGGGGACGGCCCACAAAGCCCCCCTTCCCATGAGGTCCCCGCCGCTTCCCCGAGCCCGGCTCAAACCCGCTTTCCACAAGGCTCCCGTGCGGCCGCCATCTTTCTTTCCAGAGAGGAGCGGGCGGGCCGGTCAACGCCCTTCCCCCTCCGGGCAGGCTTGGTGGCGCGCATCAACACAAGTCCATTTGCTTTTCTGCTCCAAGCGGCTGGTTCTCTGTGCTAAGTCCTTGTGCCTCCGGGGCCGTGGCCGTGCCGGAGAGCCGCTCGTGGGGGGCAGCCGGCGACCTCGGTGGGGCGTGGGGGACGGCCCACAAAGCCCCCCTTCCCATGAGGTCCCCGCCGCTTCCCCGAGCCCGGCTCAAACCCGCTTTCCACAAGGCTCCCGTGCGGCCGCCATCTTTCTTTCCAGAGAGGAGCGGGCGGGCCGGTCAACGCCCTTCCCCCTCCGGGCAGGCTTGGTGGCGCGCATCAACACAAGTCCATTTGCTTTTCTGCTCCAAGCGGCTGGTTCTCTGTGCTAAGTCCTTGTGCCTCCGGGGCCGTGGCCGTGCCGGAGAGCCGCTCGTGGGGGGCAGCCGGCGACCTCGGTGGGGCGTGGGGGACGGCCCACAAAGCCCCCCTTCCCATGAGGTCCCCGCCGCTTCCCCGAGCCCGGCTCAAACCCGCTTTCCACAAGGCTCCCGTGCGGCCGCCATCTTTCTTTCCAGAGAGGAGCGGGCGGGCCGGTCAACGCCCTTCCCCCTCCGGGCAGGCTTGGTGGCGCGCATCAACACAAGTCCATTTGCTTTTCTGCTCCAAGCGGCTGGTTCTCTGTGCTAAGTCCTTGTGCCTCCGGGGCCGTGGCCGTGCCGGAGAGCCGCTCGTGGGGGGCAGCCGGCGACCAAGGTGGGGCGTGGGGGACGGCCCACAAAGCCCCCCTTCCCATGAGGTCCCCGCCGCTTCCCCGAGCCCGGCTCAAACCCGCTTTCCACAAGGCTCCCGTGCGGCCGCCATCTTTCTTTCCAGAGAGGAGCGGGCGGGCCGGTCAACGCCCTTCCCCCTCCGGGCAGGCTTGGTGGCGCGCATCAACACAAGTCCATTTGCTTTTCTGCTCCAAGCGGCTGGTTCTCTGTGCTAAGTCCTTGTGCCTCCGGGGCCGTGGCCGTGCCGGAGAGCCGCTCGTGGGGGGCAGCCGGCGACCTCGGTGGGGCGTGGGGGACGGCCCACAAAGCCCCCCTTCCCATGAGGTCCCCGCCGCTTCCCCGAGCCCGGCTCAAACCCGCTTTCCACAAGGCTCCCGTGCGGCCGCCATCTTTCTTTCCAGAGAGGAGCGGGCGGGCCGGTCAACGCCCTTCCCCCTCCGGGCAGGCTTGGTGGCGCGCATCAACACAAGTCCATTTGCTTTTCTGCTCCAAGCGGCTGGTTCTCTGTGCTAAGTCCTTGTGCCTCCGGGGCCGTGGCCGTGCCGGAGAGCCGCTCGTGGGGGGCAGCCGGCGACCTCGGTGGGGCGTGGGGGACGGCCCACAAAGCCCCCCTTCCCATGAGGTCCCCGCCGCTTCCCCGAGCCCGGCTCAAACCCGCTTTCCACAAGGCTCCCGTGCGGCCGCCATAACAGCGGCTCTTTGACCTTCCTCTGCCCCTGTCCTCCTCTCTACTGCAGGGGACACCCCTGGGTCCAGTGGCAGCAGCATCTCCTCCATTGGCGATGGAAGGGCAGTGGTGAAACTGGAGCGCCTGGAGGATGTGGTGGGGGACTGCCTCTATAAGGTCAACAACCACTTGGACAGCAAGTACGAGCCGTTGCCGGTGACAGAGATCATCCGGGCCGCCAAGGGCATGGTGGGCCAGGAGCTAAAGTACAGCGTGCAGAGGAAGAACTGCGAGCACTTTGTCACCAAGCTGAGATATGGGAAGTCCGAAAGTGAGCAGGTAAGTCCTGTTCGGGGTAGTCCTGCCCCTCCGGGGTCCGGTGGATTAGAATGAACAGGCTACAGAAGAGAGGAACGCCACGGATCAGGAAAACGGTGTCTGTCTGGGGCGGAGCGCACCGTGGCAAAGGGTCAGGGTTTCTGACTTCTCATGAATGAAATGACTTTGGACAGAATATGTTTTCTGGGACCTCAGTTTCCTGTGTGCACCAGGGAAGTTGGCTAGAAGGCCGCTGAGTCCAGTTCAGTGCTGAACTGAGTCTCACTGTCAGATCCATGGTGAGGACCATCCCTGAAGCTCTGTGGGTTGTCAGGGTCAATCTGGGCCTACCTAGTACCAAATGGTGTTCTTGAGTCCCAGAGAGTATGCACTCAAGGAGAGCTCCAAGTTACCAAGGAGACCTCCAGAACATTCCAGGGTAAGCCCTGGCACACAGACGCTTGACCCTTCTCTGAGTCTGACAGAGTGTTGTCTGTCAGCATGAAGGACACAGAAGACTGAACCAAGATCACGCCAGCTGTCCCTCCCGCTGGGCTCCTGACACCCCCCACCACAACCCTCAGGACTCCTGAAGGGGGTGGGCAGGAAGAGCGGGGGTAGGAGGGCAGCTGGGGTGGACCATGAGTTGAGGGACATTGGAGATTCCATGTGTCAGGACAGGTGCCATGGTGGAGGCACCGAGTAGCAGCTGCACCCCTGAGTCTGCAGTCTAGGATGAGGGAAGCTCTAGGTACAGGTTTCCAGGCCGCCCCTGTGAGCAGGCCACAGCGCACAGTGACCCCAAGTGGACTCCTGTGGTTCCCAAAGTCTCCCTCAGCTTCTGTGACAGTCCCTCCCTATGTAGGGTCCTTCAGATCCCAGACTGTCCACTTTCACCCCTGGGACACCGGCCCGAGGAAGTGAGACCCCCACCCCACCCCTCGCCCAGGTCAGGGACAGTGTCCTACCCAGGGAGATTTCCTCAGGGCTCTCTCCACCTGTCTTCCCTGCTCCCAGGACATACCCAGCATGGTCAGGGGTGTGGTAGAGGAGAGCTGACCACGTAGGCAGGAGCTGGGCAGGGAGGAGGCAAGTTCAGGCCTTGCAGGAGGGACTTAGGGACTCAACACCGTCTGTTCTCTTTCAGGTCAAAGGGAAGACAGTATGTGGAGTCATTCTGATGGCAGTTATTGGAGCCCTAATCCTACTCTGATCCGTAACTCTGACAACACGAGGAATGTCCAGTTCTGATGATACAACGCTGTTGCCCCATAGAGACAGGGTCAAGCATCTCTGGCCATCTGGCCTCTGCTTCTCTTACTGCTGGCAGCTGGCTAGTCCTCTGCCACTAAGAAGCATCATGGATCTATAGATCCTTCGAAAGAACTAGCACCATGCTTTTCTAACCCTCAACAAAAATGAAATAAAGCCCTACATAAATGATAGTATTTTATAAGCAAAGAGGTGTGGGGCTAGAATGGTAGCACAGCGGGTAGGGAGGCTTGCCTTGTACACAGATGATCTGGGTTCAATCCCCGCACCCCATGTGGTTCTTTCAGCACCGCCACGAGTGATCCCTGAGCCCAGAGCCAGAAGGAATCCCTGAATACTGTCAAGTGTGGCCTCAAAACAAAATAAAAGGGCCAGCTTCCATTTCTCCCTCTGTGTCACTCAATTTCTTCATCCTAATTTGATGAAGCATTCGGAATGGTGCGTAGATGGCAGACAGAAAAGACAATAAGAGTCAAAGAGGCATGTTTTACTTGAAAAGCTATAGTTATGAGTAAGAAAAATGGAAATAGGGTTAAATAGGTTAAAGTTCTCCCTGGCACAGTTCCCTGACCATTGGGCTGCAGGGCTTCTGAGAAAACTCCAGGTTCCGGCCAGGGTAAGGGTGAGCTGGCGCCACTGGACCTGGCACTCCCTGGAGATTAGTATAGTTTGATGAACTATTGGTTTGAGGCTCTTCATGTTCCTGGAGCGAATAGATGCCATTGGGCTACACTTGCATGCGACAGGGACAAATGGAGATGTTACAGGCGCCTGCTCGAGCAAATTGCCAATTAACGGGAAGTCAAGTCAAGTGAGTGATGACCAAGACTCAGAGACTATAAAATCCAGATCCCGGACGAGAACAGTGCAGTCTTCTGCCCCCGTGCCTGGGTGTTCCTTCCCGGAGCCCCTTGGAGGGGAGCGGGTTGAGCTTTCCTCCCCGCCCCGACCAGGGCTCCGGCAGCCGAAGACCTCCAGGACCAGCCACCACCATGCTAAGACCACTCTCCGCACACATGAAGGTACTGGCAGAGGGAAAAAGCCACGCGGGTTCCGGGGCCGAGACTTCCAAGCCTACTCGAATTGGAGTCGAGCATCTTCCACCCAGATCCTCCAAATTCCAGTAGGCGGGGGTCACACCCACCACCTGGCCCCCTGGCACCGTGTAATCCCATCAGCGGCCAAGACTCAGAGACTATAAAATCCAGCGGCCGCGCGACATCTTATCAGAACTTTTTTTTTTATGACATCTTATTGTCTCATTCCTATTTTGGACAAACTTGCAGGCTATCGATTGTAGCCTGCCCACAGGGCAGAGTCTGGCAAACTCCCCGTGGCGTACCAAATATGCCAAATACCAGTAACAATGATGGGTCTCATTCTCCTAAATAGCCTTGAATATAATCTCAGGGCTAGGATGAAAGAGACGTTACTGGGGCCTGCTCGAGGCAATCGATGAATAACAGGATAACAAGTCAAGTGAGTGATGACCTTGCAATTAGTGGCGCTTGGGGAAGCCAATGTTGGAAGCCAATGCCCGTGGTACCTGTAAGATTTACAGATCTGCCTCTGCTTTAGGCCGAGGAGACTCTATACTGCTCTGTCCCACATAGCCCATGTAGCCATATCTGACCTTCCTCTTCCTCCTAATCTCATGTCCTCTCATCTCTGGAGTTCTGCATGTACTGCAATATTTTTGCTCCTATATGACCATCATTATGCCCGAATAAACTGTGTCCTTGGACCACCAGTCTGTGACCCGCGTGGAATGTCTCCCAGCCAAGTTTTTGAGAACAAGTCTCTTAGACCATGATAATCGTCTTCCTGTTCCCAGATTTTCCCCATTGAGGCTGGACATGTTTCTGCCAACATTAGCTAGCATGACTGGCTTTGGGCCCTAAGGGGCTACATGGATTCCTTTTGGGAGCCCAGGAGGCAGGGTCCTTGAGTGACTGACTCTGTGAAGGAACACATGTTGTAGGACCCAGAGAACAGTGGGACCTTGAGGATGGACTCAGGAAAAAGAGTTTGTCATTGGCATTGTCCCAGCTTTGTTCTCTCCCATTCTCCCACCCCATAATGAATGTTCTAGAAGATTCTAAGCAGCTGTCTGCTCTGACGCCTGAGGGCTGCTGCTTGCTCAGGCTCTTGCAGGTTAGGGCAGCTGCTGCCATAAAGCCATCATGCCTTGGGGAGCCAGGTCAAGCACAGAGACTCCTGATGACCCAAAGAGCCTGAGAGGGCAGAGTGGCTCAGGGTCTAGAGAAAGTGGGCTGCCCCCAGTCTCTGAAAGAGAGAGAGAAAAAGAGAGAGAGGGCACTGATGCAGGAGCCAAGTTGGCTGAATCCAGCACTTAATCCAGGTCTTTCTATCCAAGGTTCCCACGTTCTTCAGAATTTTCAAGAAAGAAATATTATTAACTTGAATAGTATATAATTTTATTATTTTGAATTCTTAGTATTGAGTAATAAGAAGCTCAGAGAGTTGAAAAGATAAAAAAGGTTATTGAAAAGAAAGAACCTCCCCTGTTGGGAAGGTCCTCAGCACAGGATTAAGTATGTGTTGTGTGTGTGTGTGTGTGTGTGTGTGTGTGTTTTCTTTTTAAATAGGAAAACTGGGTTATGAGTTCCTTACAAAACAAAGTATCAGAAGATTTCTCTTTGTTTCCCCATGTTAACTGAGGGCTCACTTGTGTTGCTAAAGTTAATATTGTCCCCACTCCCTGCACTTCATATGGTTCCCCAGCCAAGCCAGGAGTGATTCCTGAGCTCAGAGCCAGGAGAAAGCCCTGAGCACAGCTGGGTGTGGCCCCCAAACAAGAATAAAAAGATTAACGTCTTTCTTACTCATTTAGGGATGGGGACTATTTATATTTTTATGACCTTTTAAGTTACCTGCTGAACCATCTGCCCAGGTATTCCCCCCTGGTCTCCTCCTCTCCGGGAGCCCAAGGCCCGGGGAAGAATGTATGACCTTGGGAAGTGTGAGGTTTGCTCAGACAAAGTGGCGACCAGGACCAAATGCCAACGGGCTGATGAGACAGCAACATTCCCAGAATCAGAGGTTACCCTGTCCCCAGCGAGGAAGACGACTTCTGGCCCACCAGACAACAGGAAGTCACCAGGCTGCACTCTCTGCTTCCTTTCCATTGCCCCCTCCCCCTACAGGTTATAGGAGCCAGACCAAGCACCCCGATTCCACTAGTCTTGGATCCCTTTTCCCTGCCTAAGACAACTTAGAAGCCCCCTTAGTCTCTCTCAGGGGGCAGCTCTACTCCAGCCTCACCCGAGTTTTCTAAATCCGCCCAGGAGCACCCCCCAATAAGCTTCTCCCATTTCCTTCACTTTACTTGTCTCTGTCTGTGTTGGCTGAAGTTATGGACCTATCAGGAAGTTGTAAAACTTCTAGTCTCTAGAACAAACCAGGAATTTGCAATCATGTTTACAATGTAGAACCAGGACAGCCTAACCAGAGCCTCTGGCAGCAGCTGGCAAGGGGAAACTGAGGCTTCCTCTTTCAGAGCCAGAAGAGAGCCCTAAGGAGACAGGGAGATGAGAATGTGTCCTCCCTGAGGCTGGGAGGGAGAGAGCATCAAATGCAATGCTGTGTCCTCCCTCCCTCAACACACACACACACACACACACACACACAGACGCAGCTGAAGGGAAGTGTGTGAGATTCCTGCACCCCCCCCCCCCGCCCCCTGGGCTCCTTGGAGCTGCTCCCCTCCTGGACCCAGATACCCAGGGATAGATCAGTGGCAGAGCCCAACAGAATCCAGGTGGGGGTTGGGGGCAGAGGAAAGGGACTGGCAGGATGGTCCACCGCCAGGATGTGGTTCCAGGTTGCAAGGGCAGAAGCCCTGGCCAGTCTGGAGGAAGCTCTGCTCTGTTAGGAGAGCACTGGAGATGCCCAATCCAGCTGCAGGGGAAGTGCACTGCACCTCACAGATCTGCAACAGAATGAGCTGGACTGTGGAGGAGGTGGTGGGCGAGGCCGCAGTCAGGCAGAAAAGGAGGAAGGGGGCATTAGCGCCGCACACCCAAGTTGGAAGCCAGCCCTGAGACGCCCTTGGCCGTGTGATCATCCACTGAGAGAAAGACGGTGCTTACCAGCTAAGGGGAGGTGCAGAGCCAGGAGCCAGGGCCCCGGGCAGCCTGGTTGGTCTCTCTGAGAAGGGAGATTCTGGGGCAGTGACTGCCCTGTGGCCCCATGTGAGGCCCTGGCAGTCAGATGAGAGACTGCTGGGAGCAGGGGATAGACCAAATAGCAACCGGCTGATGAGGTAACAGCATTCCCAGAATCAAGGACTGCCCTGCCCCCAGCAGGACTTACAGCCCACCTGGGGTCAGGAAGCCACCATTCTCTGCTTCCTCACACTGACCTCCTATAGACAACAGAAGGCCAGGCCAAACCCACCACCTTTGTTCCCTCCCCACCACGCTGCCCCAGCCCTGCCCAAATCAATTTAGAAGCCCCCTTAGTCTTCAGGGACGGGGGAGGGAGACTCTGCCCGGGGGGCATAGCGGTTTCTCCACTTTATAATAAACTTTCTTCAATTTATTTGCCTCTGTCCACTCTGTCTGTACCGGACAGGGTTCTCAAATCTATCAGGACCCAATCAAGGGAGGTGGAAAACCGAAGCTTCCAGCTGAGAGCCTGCTGTTTATTACAGGAAGGCAGCTAACGCTGGGCTACCTGTTTTTTTCTTTTTTTTTTTTTCCCTGCCTGAGTTGTGGCAGGAGATGGCTAAGATCCAGCAGCGGGTTCTCCTAAGAGTAGGGACTGGAGGAGGAAAGTCATAAGGCGTGAAAGTGGGCTGCTTCACTGCCAAGAGGTTTGGAGGCTTTCTGAGCCTCTGGAAATAAATGTTTTCCTGCAGGAATGGAGGAGAACCAAGTTTCTCTCCTGCTTGACGCCTGTTGATCCTGCCAGCGACCAAACCACCTGGGATTGGAATCCGGAAGATGGAGAGTAAACAAACAAACAAATAAAACAAACAAATAAAAACACCGGAAGTAGCAGGTCCTGGGAGCAAAAGAGTGAATTGAGTCTAAGTCCTGAAAACAGAAGAATAAAGTCCTGGGCTTGGTCCCCAGAAACAACAACAGCATTGGAAGTGGATGGAGGAAAGGCTGCTGGTCCCTGGGGCCTGAGAGAGGGCTGGACCCAAAGTAGGGAACTGAGCTCTGACACTCCATCCCCCTCAGCCCAGGTCATTGCCAAGCCCGGCGGCGCAGGAACGGGTCACTCGTGCCTTCTTGACACCAAACATCCTTTATTTTCAGTATTTTTTACAAAACCTGAGCACATCCTTCTTTAAGAGTAAGCTAAACCTGTTGCTTCTGTGGTGGGGAGAAATGTGCCTGGGCCCAAGTTGGCTCCCAGAGACACCTCCTTCAGGATGGAACCTTCTCAGTTCCGAGGGTGGGTCAGTGACAAAAATGATTCCAAGTTGAATCAGGACTTCTTCCTGGATCTTGCCATGGCTGATCTGACAGCGAGCAGACTGTTTGGTCCCCAATTCCAGACAGGCGTTTCCTTCTCCTGAAGCCTGGAGTCGCCTCACTTGTGAACGGAAGACTAAAAGGGAGGAACGAGAAGTTTCGATTTTTAGAGATTTATTTATTTATTTGTGTATTTTTTTGGCTTTTGGGGTCACACCCAGCGATGCTCAGCGGTTACTCCTAGCTCTGCACTCAGGAATCACTGCTGGGAGTGCTGGGGAACCATATGGGATGCCGGGGATCGAACCCGGGTCAACCACATGCAAGGCAAACACCCTACCCACTGTACTATCACGCCGGGCCCCTAGACGTTTATTTTTAGCTGATTTAACGGTGTTATTCCGTAAGCACACTGAAGTTCCCACTAGGGCCTGAGAGCCCACCACGGATTGCAAAGAGGAACCAGGCGCTGTGGGATGTGGTCAAAGAGGACTGATTGTTTAGTTCAAGGAATCCCGCTATAGCCACTTTTTCTCACTTCTGTAACAATGCTTGCTTTGCTGCACTTGTGTGAACTTAGTGGGCACCTACATGTGGGCCCATGGGGCAAAACAAATTTTGGAAGTGCTGATGAAAGTTCCTGGGACACCAGGGTGAGGTGTTTCCTAATAAATGGTCAACACTTCTGCTGTGAGGCCACTGCTCTTGCCTTGCAGGACAGCCCGCCAGCTGGTGTCAATACAGACTCCACCAAAGTCTAACTTTTTGGTCTCAGATGTTCTCTTTTTTCTTTTTTGGGTCACACCCAGCAATGTGCAGGGTTACTCCTGGCTCATGCACTCAGGAATTACTTCTGGCAGTGCTCGGGGGACCATAAAGGATGCTGGGAATCAAATCCGGGTTGGTCATGTGCAAGGCAAATGCTCTACCCATTGTGTTATCGCTCCAGACCCTCTGGTGGTCTTTTATTTATTAATTTTTACTTTCTTTAATTTATTTTTTGCTTTTTGAGTCATACCCGGCAATGCACAGGGGTTACTCCTGGCTCTGCACTCAGGAATTACTCCTGGCGGTGCTCAGAGGACCATATGGGATGCTGGAATCAAACCCGGGTCGGCCGCCGCGTGCAAGGCAAACGCCCTACCCACTGTGCTATCGCTCCAGCCCCTCTGGTGGTCTTTCAATCGTGACCCCACAACAACCATCTCTGCCCCTTCTCATCTAAGCTTCCTTCCAGCTGGCCAGACTCTCCTCCCCAGAAGATGTTGGCTGGGAACCGGTACCTTATGGCTGGTCTTAGCCGTGGGCTTCTCTACACAACGGTGGCCCTGAGGGAGCCTTAAGGGGGAGCCTTCTCCTCCCCACAAGAAAACATTTCGGGGGGCTCAGCAAGCCTCCAAGCCTCTTAGCAGTGAAGCATCCCTCTCTCACACCTGAGCCTGATCTTCCTCCCTCGGTTCCTGCTCCTAGGAGACCCACAGATGAATCTTAGCCATCTGCTGCTAAGATGCTTGCCCAGGGGATAAGGGGCAGGAGACAAAGATAGTAGTTAATTACACCTCCTAGGTGTGCACATACAGATACTCATTTTCTGTGTCCACACCCCTGTGGGTTCTGCGGTTGGTGGACCCTGCAGAGGAAGAGGTTGTGCAAAAGGGAGATTTAGAAAGCACAGAAGTATACTTAAGTCACTTCACGGCAGGGTGCTCTCAAATTCAGTCTGGAAGCAACTATCTGTACCTCACTCAACCTAGATTCTAGGTGCAGGAAGGAAGGAAAGGAAGGAAGAAAAGGAAGTGAGAGAAAGCACGGCATCTTTTAGAACATGGCTATGGATTGCAAAAGTACACAGGGCAAAGGAGATTTGAGGTTAGGGTGTGAACCTCCTGACACAACACTTCAAGAGGTGGTCCTGTGGCCTCTTAGAATCTGTATTGCAAATCATAATGCCCAAAACTATAGAGAAAGTAAGAAAGATGGTACCTGCCACAGAGGCAGGGAGTAGGATCGGGTGGGGTGGTGGGTGGGACACTGGGAACATTGGTGGTGGAAAATGTGCACTGGTGGAGAGATGGGTGTTCGAGCATTGTATGACTGAAACATAATCATGCAAGTTTGTAACTGTATCTCATGGTGATTTAATAAAACTTATTTTAAATATATATGTGTGTATATATATATATATATATAAAGAGGTGATCCTGACCGTCCCAAGGTCCAGCATCCCTGCAAAGGAGGATAAAAGTAAAGAGCTGCCATGTATTCAGAAATTCCACTCTCAGTGTCTACTGGAAGGATACAAAATACTGACAGAAAAGTCCTATCCACTCCATGATTGATGCAGCATTATTTACAATAACTCAAACATCAGAACAATCCATTCTCACTTCTCCAGATAATTACAAATAGAAGATTGGTCTATTGTAGGGTTCAACAGTATGATAAAGTAGTATTTGTTGATTTAAAAAAAAAAGAGATAAAACCAAATGAACAAGATCTTTGGGGTTACAAGAAGGAAAGCAACTCAGAAAGACAAAGACAGTATTCAACGACACCTCCCAGGTGTGCACATACAGATACAAACTGATGAAGCGAATAATCCAAAGAAGATAAGCCAGCGTGCATGGGTTACAGAGCTGTGGGTCTCTGAGGAGAAGGGCTGAAGGGAGGAGTCGGGTGGAAAGGGGTGCAGGACTGTCCACACCCAGGACAAGAAGCCAAAGACACCCCGTGTCCTTCCTTTCATGTCCCTCTGCCTGTGCCTTTTTGGTGTAGCTATATTATGTGTATGGTGCATACCCATGTTGCACACGTGTACCTGTTGTGTGGAGTGCATATCCTTGGTGCCCATGTATTTGTGTGGCGGGTCTGGTGCATGCACGAGTATGCATCTAGAAGGTACATGAGTGCAAACTGAGCGTGCAGGCATGAGTGTGCATTAGGGACAAGACCAGGATGACAAAACGACTCCTGTAAAGTCACATCCGTGAGGTCGGTGCTCTTCCCAGCCCCAGGCAAGAGAGCCAGAATCTCCCTGTGCTTCACGGCCAATCCTTCGGTCTTCCTCATGTCTTCTGTCCCTGGATGCCTGTGACCCCTCAGATCCTCCTCCTGAGACTCTGACACTGACCCTGGGCCACGCCATCCTGAGAGACCAGACTGATCACACGCTGGGGACTGACTCCAAGCTAGGAGATAACCCAGCGGTCTGCACCGAGAGGCTTGAGTTCTCACACAGCGGCCTCTGCTGGCCATTCCCTGCAACTGCACTCCCAGCCACCCTGGAGATGCTCAGGGATTCCCAGGATCAGCGAGGTGGAGGGACTTGCCCAAGAGATCTCAAGCTGGCAGGAAGTTCAACGGGATATTTTCAGCCACGTACCTCCAGGACCCACCCCAGCCATCTCCCGTCTCCGTCTGGCGCCTCCCCTGGGCAGGGCCTGCATCTTCTCAGGCAATTTCCCATGTTCCTCCCAGTCCATGACCAGGTCCCTCCGCCCATCCCAGGCCTCCCCGCAGAGACCGGGTCAGTTCGTCTTTGCCCTTTCTCGAGTTCCTGTCCCTGAACCTTGCTGACACAGTGAATTCACTTTGTCTTCCCTTTTCTGCTCCGGGACTTGTTTCACAATGTTCTGTTTATTACTCCTGATAGTCCCCACCCGCCTCCCAGGTCCACGGTCACCTTCCCACGGGGCACAGCTGAGCGTGACCTCCCTCGGGCTGAGGGGAACCAGGCTCAGCCTTTGGGGAGCTCTCAAGCGCACAAGGTGGGGGGATGCTCAGCCCCCTCACCATCCTCTGCTCTGACTCCCAGGCTGATGAATATCCCCCGACCCCCACCCCAGCTGACTCAGCGTCTGTCCCTCTGATCCCACACTCCTCCCACACCCTCTCCCCACCTTCCTACTCCCCCCAGACACACTCCTCTGAGAGAGGACACTGTAAATCCCAGAGGGGCTCAGCTGGATTCTGTTTCTCCATCCTGGATCACAGTTTCCTGTGTTGGCTGCTCTCTGGGGACTATGTGTGACCTTCACTCAGGATGCTGGGACAGGCACAGGGATCCAGGATCCAACCCGAGGAGTTAGTACAGGGCGGTTAGGGTGTGTATTTAGCAAAGGCCCAACCTGGGTTCAGTCCCCGGTACCCCACCAGGCCCTGAGCATCTCTCCATGCAGTCCTGGAGGCCTGCCTGTAAGCATTGCTAGGCGTGGCCCTGAAGGGCTCCAAGCAAAGCCAGGACAGCCTAGTGGTCACCCTGCGTAACAGTACCCAGGCAGTCCCTCACCCTCAGGCCCAAGCCATGACCTGGCTAGTCAAATATTGCAGCATGCCACAGCCTCACCCTCCATCTCCTGAGCACCCCCTGGTGGGCCCCCCCTCAGAAAGAGATCTGGGGGTTTGTGCCAAGAGGGAACTAGCAAGCCAGAGGTGGGCGGCTTCCCTGAGCTCTCCTCGTCCTCCAGCTCAGCCCTGATGCCTGCCTGTCAGGCGGGGCAGCGAGATTGGGCCTCCACCTGGCATCATCTCAATGGAATGAGTCACCCAGGCACACAGTGGCACAGGGACTTGGGCCCCGCCTAGATCCGGAAACGGTCCCCAGCAAGCTGAACTTTGTGTTCAACTCGGCGGCAGTAATGCCCAGAGACAGGGGCTGCACGGCCGACTCCCCTCTTTAGGAAGGTCACCCCTAGGATCTCCCCAGTTCCAGTCCCAGCTGAAGGGATGGTCACACAGCTGGCAGCACCATTCTGGGCCAGCGCTTAGGACACCATGAAGGACAGATTCTCACACAGAGATTCTGACACTGTTTGCAGGCTGAGGTTGGAGCAGAGATGGTCCAGGCTTTAGCCAACAGCTCAGCAGCCTGGGGGTGGTGGTGGCAGGCAGGGGGAAAGGGGACTGTCCCCTCACCTTTAATGTTTAGGGTGCCACCACCACACTCACCTGCATTCCAGCCTCATCCCTGGGTCGGCGTGCAGAAATGCCTCTGATCTGGGTAGAGGGACAGTCTGGAAACATCCCCAACCCGCTGACGCGGAGGCGGGGGCGGGGGAGGTGGGCCCCTCCTTCTGGAGTTCTCCCGGCCCTGGAGGAAAAAGCACTTTTTTAATCAATACATGGGGTTTCCCCACGGAGCCTCCTACAGCAGGTTGAGTTCCCTGCACCCAAGGCCGGGACCCAGGCAGAGTGAGACCTCCTAGGAGGGCCTGGCCCCCTACTTCGGGGTTGGGATAGACAGCCCCAGGGCACTTACCCAAGCTGCCATCCTGGGAAGCAGTTCCTGATTTCCGCAAAGCAGAGCTGCTTTTATATGGGAGTGGGGACTTTTGGTTTCATTTTCAAAGTGCAGGAGGAGCTTTGCAAGAAAGAGGCAGTATTTGATACAGCTGGCAGGGCAGTCCGCTTGCCCTCAAGCTTGGCCCTGCAACTCACGGAAGCAGGGTACAAAGGGGAACTTTTCTTTCTGTTCCCACAGGAACCCTGATTCTCTTTCTTTTATTTTTTAAATTTTCTACATTTTTAGGCGTTTGCCTTGCATGCGACCGACCCGGCCGACCCTGGTTCGATTCCTCCGCCCCTCTCGGAGAGCCCGGCAAGCTACCCAGAGTATCTTGCCCACATGGCAAAGCCTGGCAAGCTCCCCGTGGTGTATTCGATATGCCAAACACAGTAACAACAAGTCTCACAATGGAGACGGTACTGGGCCCGCTCGAGCAAATCGATGAACAACGGGAGGACAGTGCTACAGTGCAAAGTTGTTCACAATAATTGATTACATTTAATATATCAACACCAATCCCACTACCATTGACCTTCCCACCACCATTATTTCCAAGTTTCCCAACACCACTCAAGCCTGCCCCACAGGCAGGTGCTAGATAATTTATTTTGTATTGCTTGTTATGAATAGTACGTGCATTGAAAGTACAGACGATCATTTTTGTCTTCCTTCATTGTGGCAGCCTAGTTCGGCCTTGAGATTTTTATCTGCCTCTTCTTTCTTATCCTTCAAGTGATCAAGTTATGAACAGTGGAAGATATCTGTAAGAGTTTATCTCACAGTGATTCAAAAAGGAAAAAATAGCATGAGATATGTTGTGGCTACTTTTGCAGCTGTGTGCTCCTGGGATTCTGAAAATTTAAATAATTGGGGTCCAGAGCCATCCCTGCTGCTCGGTTCAGATTCATTTGTGAGTTTCTGGATCATGGTCATTAATGCCCTTAAATAGTACCTGGTTGCAGTTTGTGGACATGACAGCCAGGACCCCGGAAGGGTGGGAAGGTGTAAAGGGATGGCCCAATCCTTCAGTGACCCCCTGAGACCTGGAGATCTCAGTCACTGGTTCCACATACCTGGGTTTCAGTGGGTTTATTCTCTAGCATAGGGGGATCCCCGATTCTCTTCCCACAGTGCCTAGTCTATTGTGCCTGCACAGGAAAATGAGGCCTGGACGGGCTCTGGGATGCCACCCCCAGTGTACCCTACAGGACACAGTCCTGAGGCAAATGCCGATTGAATGTGTTCAGGAGACAGGGCACTGCTGTAGGGAACTGCAGATGATCAGTCCAGGCTTAGTCAGCCAAGGAGAATTTCTTTGTTTATTTTGGGGTCACTAGCAGGCAATGCCCAAGAATTACTCCTGGCTCTGAGCTCAGGAATCATTCCTGACTGGGGATCAAACCAGGATCAACCACAATTAACTCAAGTGCCCTACCCGCTGTGCTGTCTCTCAGCCATCACCCCCCACATCCCCCCTTTAATGTTGAGACATCAAACATCGTAAATCACAAGGTTGTTCAAAATACAGTCGTTTCAGAGATTCAATGTTCTAACACCAATCGCACCACCAGTGTGACCTTCCCTCCCCACAATGTCCCCAGGTTCCCGCTCCCCACCCCCAAACCAACCCTTTCTAGCAGGCCACAAAATAATTTCCTTTATATTGTCTGTTACAACATATTTCTCATAATAGTGTGACTAAAGTCATCATTGGAGGTTTACAGAGCTGTTCAGTGCCGGTGGAGCCTTCTGTGTTATTGTTTTTGCTTATGGAGCCCAGTGGGCGTCGACACAACTTTCTCACTCCCGTGGCCATGCTCCTAGTGGGATGTCAGTGCTGTGAAATGAAGAGGTGTCAAGCAGCTGCATATGCTATACCAGGAGCTGCGGAACTAAGATGGGTCAGCAACCTGGTGTCACTTTGAGATGAGTCCTGGAGCGAGCAGTTTAGATGCCAGAGGAAGTCACACATGAGTGGGTCTTCCAGCAGGGCAAGGACTTGGACTGTCCCGGTCCTGAGAAGGTTCCAGAAGTCTCAGCCCCAATGAAACCGAAAGCTGGTTCTTTGAGAAAATAAACAAGATTGATAAACCACGAGCAAGACTCACAAAGAAAGAGAGAGAACCCTAATAAATCAAATCAGAAATGAAAAGGAGGACATCACAACAGAAACCAAAGAAATTCAAAAAATCATCAGAGACTACTTTTAAAGTCTGTATGCCACAAAACAAGAGAACCTAGAAGAAATGGATGAATTCCTGGATTTCTATAACCTCCCAAGGCTGACCCAGGAAGATTTGGAATACCTGCATAGACCTATAACTATCAAGGAAATTGAAACTGTAACCAAAAGTCTTCCCCAAAACAGAAGTCTCAGACCCAAGACCAGGCCTACCTGGGACAACTCAGCCACAGCATCTCTCCCCACGTAGAATTTCTATGATATGTGTAATTTGGTCTGGCGGTGGTCAACTCCTCTAGCTTTTGTTTACCTGGGAAAGCCTTTATCTCTTCATCTGATTTTAAGGATCATTTTGCAGGGCTTCAGGTTCTTATTTTAATAAAGTGACTGAATACATCATCCTGCTGTCTTCTTAGCTTGTATTGTATGGGTAACCTTTGTATGTCACATGTGTTTTCTTTTGAGCAGTCGCTAATATTTTTTCTCCATTATACACTTTTGATGGGCTGGAGCGATAGCACAGTGGGTAGGGCGCTTGCCTTGCATGCAGCCGACCTGGACCGACCCCAGTTTGATTCCTCCTCCCCTCTTCGAGAGCCCGGCAAGCTACTGAGAGTATAGTACCCGCATTGCAAAGCCTGGCAAGCTACCCGTGACGTATTCGATATGCCAAAAACAGTAACAAGTCTTACAATGGAGATGTTACTGGTGCCCACTCGAGCAAATATATGAACAACGGGAGGACAGTGCTACAGTGCTACACACTTTTGATAGTTTCATAATATATCTTGGTGCATGTCTCTTTTTCACTCAGGATTTGGGGTACGCCATCAGCTTCCTAGATGTTTTAACCTGATTTAAGATTATTAACTCACAAAATAGGAACCACAAGTCTTAAAAATTAGCTCTATCAAAAAAAAATTTCTCATTGATAAAAGAAAATCCCCTAAGCAGTAAGAGTAGCAGCGTAGCACTGTCCTCCCATTGTTCATCGATTTGCTCGAGTGGGCCCAGTAACATCTCCATTGTGAGACTTGTTGTTACTGTGTTTGGCATATCGAATACCTGGATAAGCTTGTCAGGCTAGTCTCGGTAGCTTTCCGGGCTCTCCAAGAGGGATCGAGGAATCGAACCCAGGTAGGCCGGGTTGGCTGCGTGCAAGTCAAACACCCTACCCGCTGTTATTTATAAAGAACAAAGGTAAGAATAACAGGAATTTTTTTCCTGAGAGCCCATGGAAGCCAGAGATTGGCCAAAGTAGTGAAAAGAAAAAACTTAGTTTTTTGAAATAGAAACACTCTACCCAGTGAAATGTTCTTTTGAAAATGAAAGCGAAGCGAAGACTTGGTCTATAAAAACCGATAAAACTTACCCACAGCAGATCTGAAACGTATGAACTATTAAAGATTTCTTGTAAGCAGAAGAGGACAGATCCTACATCCTGTGGGGTTGAAACCCCACTCTTCACCCCCGTCCCCCCACAAAAAAAACTTTCAGGTGGATTTTCCCTGAGATGTACAGGAAGAACTTTTCTAAGACACCCCATATTGTGTAGGACACTAGGGCTGTGTCCTTCTCATATGTAAATTGGAGGCAATAAAAGTATTTTTCTCAGCATTCAGCTGAAGAGAAGGACAACATGGAGGGCGGGATCCACAGATCCCGAAGGAAAAAAAAAACAGGTTCCAAAAAGAGCCGAGATCATCGGGAAGCCCCAGATGGGGTAGGTACCGCATCCCGCCTCCCCCAGATGGAACCCCAGTGACCAGAAGCCTCTACAACCACAGCTCGAGTATGCGGAAACTTGGACTTTTCCTCAAAACCGCGCAGTCGCTTACGTGGCCGCGCGACATCTCTCTATATACAAAGTGATCCATGGGAAGTAAACCACCCAACGTTTCTCTCTGGAAATCATAGTTAAGTTTGGAGCACGGCCACAGCCCCAGAAACACAAGGACTTAATGCATAACCCAGCAGCTTGGAGCAGAAAAGTGAATGGGCTATGCGTTAATCCAGGCCATCATGACTGTCCGGAGGGGAAAGGGTGTTGCCCCATTCGCCCTCTCCTCTCTGGAAAGAAAGATGGCGGCCACGTGGGAGCCTTGTGGACAGCAGGTATGAGCTGGGGGTGTGGGGGCAACTAAAACCTCATGGGAAGGGGGGCGTTCCGGTCCGTCCTTCACGCCCTAATGAGGTCACCAGTTGCCCCCCGCGAGCGGCTCTCCAGCACGGCCACGGCCCCAGAAGCACAAGGACTTAATGCAGAACCCAGCAGCTTGGAGCAGAAAAGTGAAAGGACTATGCGTTAATCCAGGCCATCATGTCTGCCCAGAGGGGAAAGGGTGTTGGTCCCTTCCACCCTCCTCCCTCTGGAAAGAAAGATGGCGGCCACATGGGAGCCTTGTGGACAGCAGGTATGAGCCGGGGGTGTGGGGGCAACTAAAACCTCATGGGAAGGGGGGCGTTCCGGTCCGTCCTTCACGCCCTACCGAGGTCACCAGTTGCCCCCCGCGAGCGGCTCTCCAGCACGGCCACGGCCCCAGAAGCACAAGGACTTAATGCAGAACCCGGCAGCTTGGAGCAGAAAAGCGAACGGACTATGCGTTAATCCAGGCCATCAGGTCTGTCCAGAGGGGAAAGGGTGTTGCCCCAGTCGCCTTCTCCTCTCTGGAAAGAAAGATGGCGGCCGCATGGGAGCCTTGTGGACAGCAGGTATGAGCCGGGGGTGTGGGGGCGACTAAAACCTCATGGGAAGGGGGGCGTTCCGGTCCGTCCTTCACACTCTACCGAGGTCACCAGTTGCCCCCCGCGAGCGGCTCTCCAGCACGGCCACGGCCCCAGAAGCACAGAAACCAATTTCTTAACTATCTGACTTTCAGTAAAAATACTTCCAGGGTCAAT